CCCGAAAGAAGGAGCGAGACGCTCCAGAGTCAAGGGTGAAGGTGTGAGAGGCCGAAGCCGACACAGTACCTGAGAGGGCAGACTCACCAGCACCTGAGAGCACAGACGCACTGGCACCTAGAGCAGCAGCCTCACTAGTACCTGACGCGGCAGTACCAATGCCCGGGTCGGGCGGGAAACACCGGTAACAGTCATCCTCATCACTACCAGTCACAGCATACATAGCAGAGAGAATAGCATCAAAATCAAGATCATAAATAGCTATACCAGCCCTAGACAGCTCTCCCCAGCGGGGGATCTCAGCGGCCTCCGGAAACTGCTGACGCCAGGCGTCGGTCAGGCGGCCAAAGCAGCGGCGGGCTGTGTGGGCGCCTCCACACCTCTCCCCCGCACGGTCACCAGTGCGAAGAACGTAGGGGCAGGGACCAAGTGCACCACCACGCTGACGCTGCAAGTACCACTCACGGAGCTGCTGAGGGGCGGGGACGGTGCGAGAGCGCTGCTGCTGCTGTGGCTGCTGCTGCGGCTGCTGCTGCTGCTGCTGCTGGCGCTGACCACCCCCAGAGCTGCTCCGCTGGGACGAGCCACTCCGACTCCCGCCTCCACCGCCACCCCCGCCTCCACCGCCACCCCCGTCTCCACTGCCACCTCCCCCACCAGGACCGTCGCTCCCACCGCTCCCACCGCCTCCTCCGCTACCACCTCCGCCGCCACCTCCGCCTCCACCGCCGCCACCAGTACCTCCACTCCCGCCACCACCCCCACCGCCACCCCCACTCCCCCCGCCACCCCCACCGCCTCCTCCACCGCCCCCTCTAGCTCCACCCGCTCCCTTGCCCCCCTTGCCCTTGCCAGAGCGGCGTCTGCCGCTGGGGGCAGACGCCGCGCCGACCGACTCAAAACCAGTGAGGTCGGCCGCAGCGGCAGAGGCGACAGAGGGCAGCAGGGGGGAAGGACCACACCCCTCAAAGATGGGGGTGCGAGGGTCACCCCGAGAGGCCCCTACAGCGACAATACTCCTCTCAGCCGCTAGCAGGGACTCCTCAAGGAGGTCGACAGTGAGAGTGGTGGGACAGACAGAGAGAAACTGGTCCCTAACGACACGAAGGGACTCAGGGAGACGGGTGACGAGAAAGTAGAGAGTGATGTACATGGGAGGAGGGTTCGCAGCGCGGAACTCAGCAGGAAGGGCAGCGAGGTAGCGGGTGTCACTAGCACGGAGGTGGGTAACGAGGTCAGCGACAGTGGGAAAGGAAGCGAGGTCAGGGAAGAGAAACGGTAGCATGAGGCGGCTAAGGGTAGCGGAGGAAGGGGAGAAGTAGCGTGCAACTACAGCGTCGTACAAGGCCTGAGTGGTCTTGCACTGACTAAAGTGGGCACGCTCAGAGGAAGGGAGGTGGCGACGCACAGCAAGACGTGCAGCAGCATCGCGGGTCGCCCACTTGGAGCGAACGGCAGAGTCAGCATCAGCAGGTGGGGCAGGGACAGCGCCAGAGACAAAGTCAAAGAGAGAGACCTCATCTATCGCATCACACAGTAAGTACAGCTGCAGGTCTTCAATCCAGACGGCAAAGTCAATGGCCCTCCCCTCAGCGTCAAAAGTAAGAACATTGGGGGTGGCCATGGCAGCAGCTGAAAGTCTCACCGGGCTGGGAGAGTCGGGTAGGTCAGCAGCAGAGGAACACAGCTCAGGAACAGCAGCACGGCTCTTCAGGCGGCTCGGGCGGCTCGGGCGGCTCGGGCGGCTCGGGCGGCTCGGGCGGCTCAGGCGGCTCGGGCGGCACGGGCGGCTCGGGCTGCTCGGGCGGCGGCTCGGCCGCAGGTCAGCGGCGGCTCGGGCGGCGGCTCAGGTGGCCCGGGCGGCGGCTCAGGCGGCGGCGGCTCGGCGGCGGCTCGGCTGCTGCTGGGCGGCTGGGCGGGGCCGCGTAGCAGAGGGCGGCGGGGCCGCGTAGCAGTGGGCGGCGGGGCCGCGACCGAAGAGGGCGGCGGGGCCGCGTAGCAGAGGGCGGCGGGGCCGCGACCGAAGAGGGCGGCGGGGCCGCGTAGCAGAGGGCGGCGGGGCCGCGTAGCAGATGGCGGCGGGGCCGCGTAGCAGAGGGCGGCGGGGCCGCGTAGCAGAGGGCGGCGGGGTCGCGATCGAAGGGCGGCGGGGCCGCGTAGCAGAGGGCGGCGGGGCCGCGTAGCAGAGGGCGGCGGGGCCGCGTAGCAGAGGGCGGCGGGGCCGCGGTCGAAGGGCGGCGGGGCCGCGTATCAGAGGGCGGCGGGGCCGCGTGGCAGAGGGCGGCGGGGCCGCGTAGCCGAGGGTGGCGGGGCCGCGATCGAAGGGCGGCGGCGGGGCCACGTAGCAGAGGGCGGCGGGGCCGCGATCGAAGGGCGGCGGGGCCGCTAGGGAAGGGCGGCGGAGCCGCTAGGGGAAGGGCGGCGCAACGGGCCGCTAGGGGCGACACGACGGGTCGCTAAAAAAAAAACGCGCCTCGGGGCGCGGTTCGGTGGGCCCTAGAAGCAGTCCCTAGGAGGGAACCTGCTCTGATTCCATGTGAAACCAAAGAACGAGGATGAATGACTATGAAGTGAAGTGAATACAAATAGGAAACCCAAATTGTGTTGTACCCCCTATGGGACACCCCACTATAGCCTACACAAACAAGTAAGCTATATGTTCTGACAAATCATTCCTAACATACCAATCGGACACGTGACTTCGGCCAACGCACGTACTGCACGGAAGGAATCCTCCGCGATTGCGTGAACGGAAATCAATATTTGACAAATTTCGGGGAAAAGCCGGGGGGGGGGGGCGGGAGGGGGTTATCAAATGTTGGGAGGGCGGGGGGGGGGGGGGGGGGGGGGGGGGGGGGTTTCAGTGTAATCTTCGCTAAGGGAAAAATTACCCCAAGGCATCAGTGTGGCCTACGTCGATACACTTACGGATCAGTGTAACACTAACTCACCAAAAAATTACCTCAGCACATCAGTGTAGACCCAAAATTTCACCCTTGTAATCAGTATAGAAATGTAGATTACACTGATAACCTGAGCCCTGCCGGCCATCCTGAAATTTCAGGCAAAACATTTGACATTATCTTGAAGTAATAGAGTAAAAATCAACATCATCATGAAATTACAAAGCAAACGCATGAAAACATCATGAAATCAGGGTAATCAGGACGTTTTACCTTGATATCGTGGGCCCAGGTTTGAACAGTCTCAAAACGTTCAGATGAGTGCTTCAAAGAGTATAGAAAAAAAGACATCATATTTGAGGTTATGTCCCCAAAATGTGAAACCAAATATTCAGGGTTGCTATGCAGCCCAAGTAGCACCATTCGGTAATGTACCTTCTCATTAACCGAAGTACACTAGCACAAGGTTTAATCTTCTTCATGCACATATCTTTTGTCATTTTAACAGATTGGTATATGTGGTTTCCCCATTTAAAAAAGAACCAATTTCATTTATCGAGACTTATTGTATCTTCTCACATGCTACAGTAACACAACCCTTATTGAAGCTGTATTTGGCATATTGCATTTAGTGTTTCAAATTTGTGGAGAAGGATAACCAAAGGGTGAGTAGCTTTGGCAGGGGTACTACTAGTGACCCTGCGCCTTGAAGGGGACTACAGTGCCAGTAGCGGGCACTTTCCACCCCTCCGTGCCTCAGACAGGGAAGTTATAGAAACAAGATAGTACGCTTCCCCACATTCACCCACGTGTCACCAGTTTCCATGCCACGTACTGTACTGGACATTCTGACCAACTGTACGCTACCGACTTTTGTCCCTTCTGCCAAATCGAAACCAATATGACAGTGGGCAAAAAATATAAACCCCAATCGGACTGCATGCCATTCGGGAGCCTCAACCCTAAAATTTTAGGGCTGATGCTTCCCGAATTGCATGCCTTCCATGTGGGGTCTATTTCTTTACTTGCCCGCTGACTCATTGCACTGCCTGCTGACGCAGGCATGTGTTCCGAATTTTTGTGCGCGAAACAGTAGCCTATCAGATTCCGGAACAGTGTGTCAGCCGAGCCACCCAGAGTGTGGATTAGATTTGGCAGAAGGGACAAAAGTTTGTTGCGCATAGTTGGTCAAAATGTCCAGTATAGTAAGTGGCATGGAAATTGGTGACAGTGGGTGAATGTGGGGAAGATAACTGTCCTGTTTCTGTAACTTCCCTGTCTGAGGAACGGAGGGGTGGAAAGTGCCCGCTACTGGGCATGTAGTCTCCTTCAAAGCGCAGGGTCGCTAGTAGTACCCCTGCCAAAGCTACTTACCCATAACCAAATGTGCGAAGTGTACGACAGTTTTGAAAGCCGCTGTGAGGCGGATCGCGTCTTGTCAAGAACCTCCCTGTGTCTGTGCAAGTGTGGGTGGGCTCGCACCTGAGCAAGTGTGGTTTGTGTTGCCCCCGCCAGCTTTCCAGCCAGTCACCAGGAGAATTGCACCACCACCACCACCACCCACAATTGGTCCTCTGTAACGTTTGAAACTTTCGCACTATGCGTGGCACTCTTCGCGCATTATCGCCTTAAGATTCACAGGAGAATTCGCTTTGATTCAAGTGAATCGTCCATGTGGTTATTTAATTTCTGCATGTTGTTTCGTCATCCCCTTCTCGCAAGCTCGGTTTCGCAACTGCAGCCAGCTTCGCTATGCGATTCGAGTTTTACTGACCACCAAGCAGTCTCAATTGCCCCCAGAAGTATAGACTGTTTCTGAATCAGAACCACAACCACAACCAGCTCTTGCATTCGTACTACGGCTTCCCAAAACAGACGAGTTCTCCCAAACCAGCTCAGCCCCTGCCTGAGTCAGGCAGTTGACGCACTCATGCTCACCTAGTACCAACGGTTCATCCATCCCGCAGTCTGCTAATACCAATCAGGGCCAATCACTTTCAAGTTGGTCATAGTAGCGGTAATACCAATCAGGGCCAATCACTTTCAAGTTGGTCATAGTAGCGGTAATACCAATCAGGGCTAATCCCACTCACGCCAATGTCTCGCGAGGAGAGAGCGTCCCCGTCAATGCCGACGCTGCTCGTTCTCGTTCTGCTGCTGCTAGGCGCGCAACGGGCCCGCGTTGTTCGGGGGCAGAACGGCGCTTTTCAAATCCGTGGATTGGTATGATGCTTTACCGCCTGGGTTTGCCCGCACCCGCCTGTAATCCACCCGCCTGTAATCTTCCCCATCTTCCGCAACCCCCTCCATACAACTGGCGCTGAATCAGTCCACTCGTTGCGCTCGTTTCTTCTTTGTTCTTAGACTGCGAGCGTTGCACACGGTAACAAATATCTCGCGACCTAGCAGAATGCATCCGCTCCCCTGTGCCAGGTGGACTCGGAGTCCGGCTTCTGAGTCGATTCAGAAGTCATCTTTTAACGTCAAAGACACTCGCAACTGGGGAATGCACTTGCTCCCCTGCCCTCCCTCCCCCCCCTCTCCCTTCTCCGTGTGTAACCGCACCAGGTGGACGAGAGTCCGGGTCGCATGCTGGAGCGGCATCAGTACGAGCAGGAGGAGGCGGCCGTGCTACAGTCGGCATCCTCGTTACAAACAGGCCGCGAAATTCGGCGAGAAGAGCATCATGAGCAGAGGTGCGCCAACGCGCATGGTCTTTCGTTTGCACAGTGAAATCCCTGACCACCCTATTTCTTCTCACCGTGTTCCCGCTCGTCCATCCCAAACATGCATGGTCGTATAAACATACTTTGAACATTGAACCCAGGTTGTACATACGCACTCGACACTTCACATCCGAAGGGTGTGTTCAAACATATTTTACAACATTGGGGCTATTTCGTCCTGGGGGTCGAAGTTGCGACAATGTTGGGACACCTCACCTAGTCTTCGCGCGAAGGGAGTATTCAGATTCTGTGTGCATACTGTAGACTCTGACCCTTGGGACGCGCTCTGTACAAGGTAAAGACAATGTGTCTATGGCCAATCTTGACTTGAGTCAAGTCAAGCTCAAGCACAAGCGCATTCTTTCCCGCCAGCATCCAGGCTATGGCTCGTCGTCCGACTTTCCAATCGTGTCCGTTCCGGAAGCTCGTTTCAAACTGCCTCTCGCTGCTCATGCTGAGTTTTTTCGGTCGCGCGCGTCGTTTCCTCTCCCTGTTCCGCCCCCCTCCCCTCCCCGCGCCGTTTCCCCTCTGCTCCCCCGCTTGCGCTGGCAGAGTGTTCGAGGCGGGGCAGGGCTCGTGCGGCTTCCCCGACACGCGCGCGGATGCGGACGAGTGCATGGCGGACCTGGCGAAGTTCCCCGCGCTGAGCGCGCGCAGCGGTTCCGTCAGCGCGCGGAAGCTGGCGTGTCTGGCGCACAACTACCTGCGCCCGTGGATGGGCATTCCGGGCGTCACCGCGGGCATGGGCGCGCGGGGCATGATCAATCCCGCGATGCTGCAGCAAATGGGCACGATGGCGAACGTGAGTACCGTTCCCCCATACATTCCCTCCCGCGCACAGTCCCCCCCGCGCTCCTCCCCTTCCCCCGCTCTCCCGCACAGATTCTCCCCCGCTCCTGTCCCACACATCCCCACATCCCCTTCCCCTTTCCCCGCTTTCCCTCCTCCCCCCTTTTTGGACCCCCACGGCATCCTCACGGTTTTTCCGAATTCCCCTTCTCTCCACGTAATTCGTTTTCCTCTCTGGTTCCACTCTTGCCGCCTCTGGTTTCACCGCTGCCCCCCACTACACCCCTTCATCTCCTTCCCATACCCCTACCCTACCTTCCCAATTTTACACCCTCGTGTCTGCATCATCACGTTCCCCTTCCCGCCGTTCATCCCGACTTCCCGCCGTTGTGCTAATGGCTGCGTGCAGGTGCTGTCGTGCGCGGGGCACGTGCGCATCGTTCGCGGTAAGATATTCTTCAGATTCGGCAACTTCGAGTTCGACTGGTACCGCCTCAGGCGATTCGTCTTCTCCGTGAAACTAATCCAGGTCAGCAGGTTGACAATAGCGAGATGCAGTCTAGTCTATAGCGGGGAGATTTCAGTATGCCAAGGAGACAGTGCTGTTATGCAGACACTATCTGGATTCAAACCTAGACACGTCACCTCATATCCATTCAGCCAACCGAAACCTATCTCCTGATCTCCCAAAACTCAATCCCTGAAACCCGTTTCTCATTCCCGTTATGCAAAGCAGGATGCGATACGCGAGTACAAGCTACACAACCTGAACGCGGAATTCTTCCTTAATACATGCGACATGTACATAAGCAAAGCCAGCAGTGTTGCGAAGCCACTAGCTGGGCTTCCCATTTTCAGCGTGCATGGCGCGCCGGGCAGCATCGACATTCTTTATCCTGACCCAGTCGACCTCAGCAGCAACTATTTCCAGGAAGCGGAAAATGAGGTGGGCCCCGGCGGATTTGTGACGGCACATGCCATTCAAAAAAGAGACCGGAAAAGTAGGAGGGCAGGAGAAAGGGCAGGCGTCCCAAAGAAACTACGGCAGTAATTTTATTTGGTTCCTATTGGTGCATCTCTCATATCCCTCTGCAGCTGTCCTTCACACTCCTCCACTCCTTTCCTCTTAATCATCGTTCAATGTCATGGTGTACTTAAAACACCTTGTGCAATGAATTTCGTGTCACTGCATTCTCGTTTGCAGACTCCGTGGGAGCAGAAGGAGAGTCGAGCTGTGTTCCGAGGCGGCATGACCAATTACAAGGTCATCTACCCCAAGCATTGGCGTGGCAGCCCTCGATTCCGCGTGCACAGGTACGGTTGCATTGTGTGGCGTGGGTTCCACACATAACATCACATGCATCACATGACATCACATAACATGCACCTCATGGCACCACACCACATTGCACCACATGGCACCACACCACATTGCATCACATGGCACAGTGTTTTGCATGCACCATGATTGCACTCACTTCACTCTCAACCCCACTTTACACTCTCCCCCTCTGTTCCACCATTCGCGGTTCCCTTTCGCTCCTCCCCATACCAGGATGTCGGACGTTCGGCCGGACCTGCTGGATGCCAGGGTAGTGGGACGAGTGGACCCTGAATACCGTGCAGGGTGAGTGATGAAACCCTACCACTCCTGCGTAACTGCCTCTAGTTTCACCTTCCAATAATCCTAACTCTATACAATTTGGACTGAGTTCAAACAAGTAGCCACCAATGGGTCACAGTTGCTTCCCATCAGAGAACTTTTGAGTCGACTCAAAATCTACAAGTAAGACTGAAATGCAATAGTAGCACATGCCATGTCATCCCCATACCCCATGAGTCACAGTTTTTTCTCATGGGCGTGTGCCAGCCGGCCAGGCACGTCTTGCTGTCTAGCAGGCTGGCACACATTCAAGAACATTGATGCAAGGTTTCCCGCAGTATCATCCACCTCTCCAGGATCCCTTCCCTCACTTCCCCATCTCCTCCCCTCACTTCCCCATCTCCTCCCCTCTCTTCCCCATCTCCTCCCCTCACCGCCCCCCAGTCCTAACTCATCGTCGACTGTCTCTCGCTGTTTTTCACCCCACTCTCTTCCCACCTCCGGCTGGGACCGTCCAACCTGCAACAATGCAAGTACAAGCTTGACCAGACAGCAGCATCTGCATGTGCGGTGATACCAGTGGTCCTCCTCTCTCCTACCCATCACCTCCTCTTCCCCTCCCCCCACCAATCTTTTCCACCCACCTCCTTCCTTTCTCCCCAGCATCATTTCCCCCTGCAGTCTCCGGCAAGATGCCATCGCATTCGGCAAGCGCCTGGGCCCAGCAGAACTGCAGAGCTACAAGTATCAACTGGACGTGGACGGAGGGACGGGCAGCAGGCGTGTGTGTGGCGTGCTGTCGAGCAGTCAGATGCTGATCAAGCAGGCCAGCGAGCACACCCAGTTATTCGACCCTCATTCCATTCCACCCCTCCATCCTTCTCTCGCCCCTTTCCTCTCGCTTTCCCTCCCCTCTCCTCACCCCTTTCCTCCCTGCAGACTCCGCCAAGACTCCATTTCATTTGGTAAACGCCTGGGCCCAGCAGACCTGCAGAGCTACAAGTATGAACTGGACGTGGACGGTGGCGCAGGCAGCGGGCGCATGTGCGGCGTGCTGTCGAGCAGTCAGATGCTGATCAAGCAGGCGAGCGAGTACACGCAGTTCTTCGACCCACTCATGTGCCCGTACCGGCACTTCCTGCCCACGCACCGGTTCTTCTCCGACCTGTTTGGGCAGATTGAGTGGGCGAGGCAGAATGATGGCGAGGCGAGGAGGATTGTTCGGCAAGCGAATGAGCTTGCAAGGTGGGTGTTGCTGTCTTGCACGAATGCACATGCACATGCACTTGCACAAGCATACTCACACATGCACATTCACATGCCCTTTCACAAGCTCACTCATGCATACACATTCACATGCCCTTGCACAACCATACGCACACATACACATTCACATGCTCTAGCACAAGCATACTCGCACATGCGCATTCATTCACGTGCCCGTGTACAGGCATAGTCACACATACACATTCACATGCCCTAGCACAAGCATACTCACGTGCACATTCACATGCCCTAGCACAAGCATACTCACGTGCACATTCGCATGCCCTAGCACAAGCATACTCACGTGCACATTTGCATGCCCTAGCACAAGCATACTCACGTGCACATTCACATGCCCTAGCACAAGCATACTCACGTGCACATTCACATGCCCTAGCACAAGCATACTCACGTGCACATTCACATGCCCTAGCACAAGCATACTCACGTGCACATTCACATGCCCGAGCACAAGCATACTCACGTGCACATTCACATGACCTATCACAAGCATACTCACGTGCACATTCACATGCCCTAGCACAAGCATACTCACGTGCACATTCACACGCCCTAGCACAAGCCTACTCTCACATCCACATTCATTTGCCCTAGCACGTGCCTCTGTACAAGCATACTCACATGCACAGTACACACTCTAGCACAAGCATACTCACACATGCACGTTCCCATGCCCTTGCACAAGCACACACACAAACACCCATGTACAATCACACACACACGCACACACACACACACGCACGCACGCACGCACGCACACACACACACACACACACACACACACACAAACACATACACACACACAAATCCTTGGTGCTTCCCTACAAACTATCTCATTTTTCACTTCCCTCCCTCCCCATTTCCCAACCCCCAATACAGTGACGTATGCACATTTGATGGCCGGCGACTCTATTGGGCCATCCTTCTAGCCAAGTACTCCGTATCTGCACTAGAGGACAACCGCAACATCACGCAACCACCACTGTTCACATGCACTGCGCCGCCCACCCAAGGAGATGTGGATGGCCCAAAGAGCCAGACGAGGAAGCCGCCCCCCAGATGGCCGCCCAGATGTGACAGTGTGGATGCGAAGAGCCAGCCACCTTGTACTCACTACTGCATAGGGCTTCTGGAGGACGAGAGCAAGTGGAAGTGGTTAAGTGTAGATGCGCTTGATGGTATTGAGGTGTACAAACCTCGCAACAAGCACATCAAGTTCCAGGGAATTGAGCTAGCGGGGAAGTCAGGCGCATAGAGATCATATGCTGCTGAATAACCATGTGGTGTACGAGTAGCACTAAACTAAATTTAAATGTCACAAATCATCAGCAATTTCAACAAGGCTTACTTTATTGAAGCACATACAAACTCGAATATATTCACACCCACTAGTAGAGGCGTGGCAAGAATGTACGTAGGCATCCGCATTTGGTTGTTACAGCCGCAATAGCATACATTTTACCCTGTTGGTTTATGTTAGCTCATGTTCTTCCCAATAGAGTGTGGGGTCTGTGATTTATCATGCAGCCGGAGACGCGGAGCAGATGCGTGTCATTTGTTCTACCCATCCAAGCCTTGTGCGGAGAGGTGGTGTTCAGAAGGTATGTTGTGTAGTCTCGCAGTGTGGTTCATTGTGCCAGAACCTTGTTGGAATCGCAGACTCCGCATCCTTCTCGCACGGCTCTTGTTTGTCCTTTTCTGCTACTCCTTTTCTTCGTATGCGTAGGGTAGGGAGGCCAGGTGCTCCACCCTTTTCGTACTGAAGGAATCTTTGGACTCCTTGGTGAAGTACCCCATTCCTCCGTCGGTCTGGAGGCAAGACTGGCGTTCTGCCCCAATAATTCAGAGTTACAGATCGATGTAGACGGCCCAGACGAAACGAGTGCTGGCGTCGATGAAGGTAATTGTGTAGCCTTTCTTGTCATGTCCAGGTTTGCTAAGAACCATGCAGTCGCTGTTGACCTTGTTGGGTAGAAGAAGAGCGTGCGAGTCAAATACTCCGGGTTCGCCTTTCTTGGGTACTCGCAATGGCAGGATGGGGATGATGATGCACAACTTGCCATCCTTCGACACCTCCCGCAGACTGAGTGGGAGTTCATCACTTAGGTGAAGATGGCGTTGGAGCTGCTCGCTATTCCATTCCTTCCATTTCTACGTGTGGCCGACTCATTCCTGAACTCCCTTCGTTCAGCATTGTTGCTGACCTGATTACACATCTGCACACGCTAGACACCACCTTTCGCATTGCTTGCACTACTGAGTAAAACACAGAAGGGCCACCTCCCATGTATATGACGCTGTTCCTCCTAACAACTTGCCTCCCTGACCGCTTTGTGACTGCATGCGACGCCTTCCTCGTTGTGCACTCCTGGACCCTCACTATTGACTTCTTTGAGACTCCTCTCGAAGAGATCGAGTCCATTCTCTGTGCCGTCGTTGCCTCCTCTTGTACTGTCCCCCCCCCCCCCACCCATTTTTGATGGGTGTGCCCCGTCCCTTCTCACTAGCCCTACGGCCTTGGCGTCCCATTGCTGAGCCTGCCCCTTCTATGGGGTTGCAGTAGTTATTGCCTTCGGTAAGGGTCGCAAGGGTGGTAAGATGGGGGAAGGGAATGGAGGTGGGAAAGGTGGCGGAGGTACTGGGACGTCTGGAGGTACTGACGTTGGAAGCAGTGCAGGGTCTGGTAGTGCGGCTTGATGAATTACTGTCCCTGGCGGTGTCGTGGTCCTGCAGTAGCAGCAGGAGCTTGGTGGCTGCACACCCCTCGTTCTCTAGGCCTGCACACCCCTCATTCTAGAGGACGGGTAGTTTGAGTAGAAGTGACGCCCTAGAGGACAAGCAGTTGAGCTGGACTTCCTTGCGGCCGCAACTCCTTACCCTAAACCGTGCTCTACAAAGTGGGGGCAACCATCTGCACGTGGCAGGAGAAGGTCCTATTCCGTGTGTAGTATTGTGACCCAGAGAGTCCGGTGGGCACGCTCCAGGTGAGGTCCGTCAAGCAAGAACCGAAGGAAGCCTACCGAGCCAAGAAAGCTGACCTCACCAGGCAGCTGGATGACTGGACCTGGGAGCAATACGCGGAGGTATACGATCGCCGAGTGGTGAGGAGAGAAGGGGGCACGGAGTCTCCGAAATGAAGGAGAGAGTGAGCCGCACGTGGACACTAGAAGGAGGCTTAACGATCATAGAGAAGGACCCTTTCATGAGACACGTGGCCAGGGGGCATGCCCTAGACCTGCTCAGACACTACCCGCAGCAGCTGATGATCATGGCGATACCGGAGGAAGAGACCCCCATCGTGGACAACGTACGTAATATCACTGAAGCACAACTACAGGCATGGGGCAAGATAGAATTGGTGGTAGCCGGCAGGGAATGCCAAAGTTACTCCAGGGCCAGCGAAGGCAGAGGAATGCAGGACAGCCGAGGGGCGACCTTACAGGACCTAAAGAGGGTACTGCAGACGATACAAGCAAAGTAAGGAGAGCTGCTATACATCCTCGAAAAGGTTGACATGGCAGACGATCGGAGGGAGCTAGTGAACGAGGCGTTCAAGGAGATTCAGGAGGTACTGGGGAGAGGGACGGTGGTAGATGGGGTGCACTTGGTGTTATAGTCACAGTAGGCTCCAATGTGCCTAAAACGAAATATAGAGTGCACAATCGGATTTCTGCACAGCGGATTTAAACGTTTATATCGTTCTGGTCACAGCTTCAAATGACCTGATTCAACTTGGATCTGGACCGTCTTAACGTCGCCTACAATTGGCATTTTAGATCGCACGATTTTACCAAGGGTTGACGATACAGCGTCGGTTTGAATGAACGGCACTATGGCAGCCACTATAGTCTTAGAACGCACAATAGGAAGAGTTACGAGTTGGGAATGACTCCCAGCTCCTACAAACCCCAAGAGCCAAGGTACAGTGATGTGGAACAGTGCCACACTGTCCCCAACCAAGAGGGGTCTCGAAACTACCCTCCAAAAGGGTCTACACCAACATAAATGTTACACTACACATTGTAATGTAACCATCTTCAACATCTTGAAGTGTACCCTTTTGGCAAGCTTCGAAATCACTTGAGGCTTGACACCGAGGCTCGGGTTCTTCATCACAAACTCATCCTTGAGTTCTTGATGGGTCTGCTGCACACACCTCCGACACGCCGAACGTTCCACACACACGACAAAATAGAAACCGTGCACGAGACACACAACAAAATAGCGCACAGGACACAAACGACCACGTGACACGCGACTAGTGATAACTCGCTATTGAGTCGACTCACACACTCGACATCATGACTCAACATTCACACACTATTATAAGCATGAAATATATATTATTCCATGCCCTCATACCATGCACACACGTATGCACGCACACGGGCAACAAGCCGAGTGCAAACCGTAGGGTTGCACCAACAAACTCCCCCTCGGATTGTTGGCCTTAGGATCTGTTGCTCTCAGTTCAGAGCCATTCAAGCCAGCTTGCAACACTTCCAATGCTGCTGCTGCACCAGCCTCTTGGTCATCATGTCAGCCGGCTGCCCCGTAGTCTTCACGTAGCACAACTCAACTTCACCCGCGGCCACCATGCTCCTCGTCCAATGCCACTTCACCCTCATGTGCTTGGTGAGGCCGTGCGACACATGGTTCTTAGCAAGAGCAATGGCACCCTGGCTGTCACAGTACAGTGGGGTAGGTCCTTGCTGCTCCTCCCCCAATTCAGCCAACAAACGCCGCTGCCACACAATCTCCCGTACGGCACGGAAGAGTGCCATGTACTCGAATCCACCAAGCTCAATGCTTGATCAACCTACTTCTTGCTCTCCCAAGCTGTTGGGCCTCCACCAACACAGCAGATGAAGCCTTCCACACTTGTCATGTCCTCTAGTTCAACACCATCCGCGCCCTTTTGGCGCCTTTGCGCCGCCGCCGAGTATTGCAGCCCAACGGTCGGTGTTTGGCCAAGGTACTTGGCCACCCTCATTACAGCTGCTAATTGCTCCTCATCAAGGCATTGTACAACCCTCGCCAGCTACCCGAAAGCAAAGGCCACGTCTGGCCGAGTGTTTATCGCCGCATACATGAGGCTGCCCACCAACGAGTGAAAACGGCGCCTCTCCTCTTCACCAACGCTCTCCTCCTCTGGTCCCTTCACACACTTGAACCCAGAGGGAAAGGGAGTTGCCACATGGCCTTCACTCTGCCCAAAGTTGTTGCACCCGCATGCACCGCTTCTCCACATCACGCTCGATGTGGAGCCCGAGATAAAAGTTCACGTCCCCAAGGGACTTGCACTTAAACTTGTCTTGAAGCTTCAGCATCACCTCCTTCACAAGGTTAGAGGAGGGTGAGAAAATCAGGATGTCATCCACGTAGACCACCATGAAGCTCCTCTGCTCCCCCTTGCCAAGCATGAACAAGGAGTGATCGGCCGTTGAGGAAGTGAAGCCGATCTCCTCCAACACTTCGCGCAGCTTCATGTACCATTGCCTAGGGGCCTGCTTCAGCCCATAGAGGGCCTTCTTCAGCTTCCACACTCTGCCACTACCATCATCAAACCTCTCTGGCTGCGCCATAAAAATCTCCTCCTCAAGGATGCCATTAAGGAATGCCGTTACGATGTACATCTGCTTCACCACCCATCCTTTGATGGCGGCTCCCGCGAATAGGGTTCGCAGCATCGTCGGCTTCACCGCAGGGGAAAACAGCTCCTTCAAGTCCACCCTCTCCTTCTGTTGGTGCCCCTTGGCTACAAGCCTAGACTTGTAGCGCTCGATCTTGCCGTCGGCGTCCGACTTGATCTTGAAGAGCCACTTGGACGTTATCGCCATACGTCCCTCCGGTAGCTCCACCAATTCAAACGTGTCGTTCTCCTCGATGCTCTTCAGCTCACTCTCCATTGCTTTCTTCCACTCCTCAGCATCACTACTCTCCAAAGTCTTCTTGAGAGTTGCTGGTTCTCCCGTCATCTCCACCGGAGAGAAGAAGGCGAAGGCACACTCCTCGTAGTCACTCTCCTCGTCGTCTCTGACCATCATTGCCGCTCCGGCCAAGGCCGTCTTTCCCGGCTTCCCCGGCGCATCATAGGTCAGCCTGATAGGGGGTTGAACTCTCCTCTTCCCCCTTCCTTCCTCCTCGGCTGCAGGGACTTGAAGGCCTTGGCGTTGCTGCGGTGTAGCACGGATCCGTGGAGCACTCGTAGTGCGGGAAGGAAGTGTCGGTGTACGCTCGCTCACTTGCTGCACC